AGCAAAGCCATACACTAGAGATTTAGGGTATATTTGGTTGTGTTAGAAGAAACTGTATCTCAAAATTTTTAAAGGGAGAACAATTTATATATATTTGCCAAAAATAAGGGTAACTACTATGAAGGGATAGAATATTGCTCTAAAAATGAAAAATAAATATGTTTTTTTTTTTAAAAAGAGATTGACAAGATGTTGGTTGAAAAAAGGGAAAAAGAAAAATTAAAAAAAAAACAGTTAAAAAAATTAACTTTGAAAAACTAATGAATCATGGTAAAAAAGCCATGAATTCTATGTGCAGTATTCCCCTAGCGCTGGAATTCTCCTGTTCTCCTTGATTGGTAAACTTGGTCTTGGCTGGCTGTTCGTGCTGATCTTCTGGCGGAGGGGCCTGTTGCCGTGGTTCCCAAATGTCTTTGCTGGAGGCAGAATTGCCCCGCCCTGGTGAGTCCGGGCTAAGCAATCTGCTTGGGTTTGCTCTCGGGAGCTTTTGTTCCCTGCAAGCTCTCGGTACAGCTCTGGTGGATGAGTGTAAATGGTGGCCTCCCAATCTCCGCCCGGAGGAGCCAAGAACTCGGCCCCGCTCCTCAGTGCGCCCCCAGAGAAAAGCAGTCAACCACTCCCTTCTCCCCGGTTTCCGGCCGCACTCTGTGCTCCCCCAGCCTGTGACCAAGCATTTCTATCTCTGGCACCCGACCCCGTGTGGAGTCTCCAAACCCAGCAGATCCCTGCGGTGCGCTCCCGCACCACTCCTCCCAGGGGTGGAAGGGGAGTCTCCCCGGATCTGCCGCTTGTTGGGTCCCTGCTGGAGGAGCAGTGGCCCGACTGTGCCGTGGATCACGGTTTATGGCCACCCTGAGCTGAGAGCCCGCGCCTCGGCTCCATCTCTGCAGCCGGCTTCCCCGCTCCGATCCCTGGGAGCTCTGCTGCACTCAGGCACCCCCGGTCTTTCTGTGACCCCGAGGGTCCTGAGACCACACTGTCCCGCGAGGGTTCCAGCCCCTGCTTAGCGACTGGAGCGACGTCCGTTAGCGGAGCTGACTTCTAAAAGTTCCGATTTTGTGCTCCGCGGCTCTAGCACTTGCCAGAAGCGGCCGACGGAGGCCCCCTCCCCTGCCGTCTATCCTCCCGAATATCGCCCTGGATTCACTTCTCTGCACGTCCTATCTCCCAGAAAGTGGTCGCTTCTCTCTTCAGAGAGTTGTTGCTACTCTCTTCTTCGATCTCCTATTGAGTTCGTAGGTGTTCAGAATGGTTTGATCCCCATTCAGCTGAATTCCTGAGACCAGACGAAATCCAGGTCTCCTACTCCTCCGCCATCTTGCTCCGCCTCCTAAATATATAAAGCAAATATTAACAGAAATAAAGGGAGAATTAGACAGCAATAATAGTAGGGAACTTTAATATCCCACTTACATCAATGAATAGATTATCCAAATATAAAATCAATATAGACACCTTGGCTTTAAACAACATATTAGACCCAATGGACTTAATATATACAGAGCATTCAACCAGACGGCAGAATATACATTTTTACTACACATGGAACGTTCTCCAGGACAGATCACATGTCAGGCCAAAGAATAATTCTCAAGAAACTCAAGAAGATTGAAATAATATCAAATATGTTTTCCACCCACAATGGTAGGAAACTAAAGATCAGTTACAAGAAGAAACTGAAAAAAAAAATACACAAAAATGTGGAGACAGCAACATATTATTAAACAATGGGTCAAAAAAAAAATCAAAGAAAAAATCAAAAATTATTTTCAGACAAATGAAAATGGAGACACAAGCTTCTAAAATCTTTGGGATGCAACAAAAGCAGTCCTAACAGGGAAGTTCAGAGCAATACAGGCTTGACTCAAGAAATAAGAAAAATCTCAAGTAAATAATTTAATCTTATATCTGAGGGAACTAGAAAAAGAAGAACAAACAAAGTCCAAAATTAGAAGTTAGGAAATAAAAAAGATCAGAGTGGAAATAAATAAAATAGACACAATATAAAAGGTCAATGAAGTTAAGAGCTGATTCTTTGAAAAGACAAACAAAATTAAGAAAACTTTAGCCAGACTCATCAAGAAAATAGAGAGATGGCCCAAATAAATAAAGTCAAAAATCAAAGAAGAGAAATTACAGCCAATATTATAGCAATATAAAGGATCATCAGAGAATACTATAAATAGTTACATGCCAACAAATTAGACAACTTAGAAAAAAGGGAAAATTTCCTAGAAGTGTGTAATCTTCCAAGACTGAAATCATGAAGAATTAGAAAATCTCAATAAACCAATTACTAGTGATGAAATTGAATCAGTAATCAAAAAAGTCCCAACAAACAGAAGTCCACTTTCAGATGGCTTCAGAGGTGAATTCTACCACACATTTAAAAAGGAGTTAATATCTACCCTCCTCAAATTATCCCAAAAAATTGAAGATGAGAGAACACTTCTGAACTTATTTTATGAGGTCAGCAACACCCTGATACCAAGACCAGCCAAAGACACTACAAAAAAGGAAAATTCCAGATCAATATCCCTGATAAACAGAGATGCAAAAATCTTCAACAAAATACTAGCAAACCAAATTGAACAACACATTAAAAAGATCATATACCATGACCAAGTAGAATCCATTCTAGGGATTCAAAGATAGTTTGACATCACAAATCAATCAACATGATACACCCCATTAACAAAGTGAAGGATAAAATTCCTATGATCATCTCGATAGAGGCAGAAAAAGCGTTTGACAAAATTCAACAACTGTTTATGATTTGAAGTCCAAAAAAGTCAAGAGAGGGAACACACTTCAAAATAATAAAGGTCATATATGACAAACCCACAGGTAACATCTTACTTAATGTTGAAAAGCTGAAAGTGTTTCCTCTAGGATTAGGAACAAGGTGAGGATGCCCACTATTGCTGCTTTTATTCAACACAATATTGGAAGTCCATATACATACAAGGGGATATTGGTCATAATACAGAATGGAATCTTGCCATCTGTGACAACATGGATGGAATTAAATTGTATTATGCTAAGTGAAATAAGTATGACAGAGAAAGATAAATATCTTATGATTTACTTATATGTGGAATCTAAAAACCAAACCAAACCAAAACAAAACAAAAAAAACAAAACCCAAAACAGAAAGGGACTCATAGATACAGAAAACAATCTAGTGCTTGCCAAAGGGGATGTGGGTGTGGACAGATAAAATAGATGAAGGAGATTAAGAGCTACAAACTTCCAGTTATAAAATAAATAAATAGCAGGGATGTAAATTACAGCGTAGGGAATAAAGTCAATAATATTTGAATAATTTTGTATAGTGACAGGGTACCTAGAACTATTGTGACGATCATTTCATAATGTATAAAAACATTAAATGACTATGTTGTATACCTGAAACTAACATATTATTGTATGTCAATTATAATTCAATAAAATACTAGTTAGAAATGTCTGACACTTTCTACTCAAATTTATTTACTTCTAGTTAACACACTGATTAGTAATTAGAGCAAAACTTTGTGCTCAGATTCACTCCACTTTATAATTCATTGATTATTTAAACAATTTCTGAGTTAATGAGCTACACCAATTATTGGCCTGGTGCTGGGTATGTAAAGACAATAAAATTTATTTTTGTTTTTGAAGACCTTATAGTCTTATTGAAAATATAGGCATCACACTTGCAACTTTCAATGGTATCAGCTTTAACAGAGTTATAAAATAAAATGGAACTGAAGTTAAAAGGATAAAATAACTACATGAAGAGTTCATGAAAGCCTTCCTAGAAGAGATGATATTTGAATTGAGTCTTAAAAGGTGAGTAGGTGTTTTCAGGTGGTGAATGTAAGAAAGGACCTTCCAGAAGAGGTAGCATCCTTATTGAGGTAGGTCTTATTGTGTTCAGAAAATGGCGGCGACTTCAGTAAAACTGGAATTTAGAGTTGTGTTGGTGGCTCAAACAAAGGCGACAAGAGTTTAGATGGCGTTAGCAAAGGAATACAAGGCCAGAAGTATGGTGAAAGGGCCTCTGGAGCTAAAATAAGAAATGTGGTCTAATGTTATAAGCACTAGGAGGCAAGAAAGGTTTTAAAGTAAGCAAATGACATGATTAGATTTAATTATTAGGAAAAAAGCTGGTGTCAGTCAACACCTACCAGGTTGAACAGGTGGTTCTGAGACAGGAAGTGGTTCTAAGAACCTAGACAAAGGGTGATAAAGTTCAGAATTAAGCACAAAGGATGGAGCAGAGGCTTGGACTTTGGACTTATAGCTATTTCTATGACAGATCCCAAAATAAAAGGCATGTTCAGACTTTAAAATGTTTTTAGAAGGAAACATAAAGTAAAATAATAATATGTGAACTTCATACCAAGATCAAAACCTTTCAATTGAATTTTAGTATTTACCAAAAGAGCATATGTTGAATGGTCTCAACTTTTGGTCTGCCAAGCTATTTTTATGGGATAAGAGTATTCAAGAAAGAAGAATCTTTTCTTCCCAAAAAGAGTGCTAATGTCCACTTTAACGCTTCCCTAAATATCTCCAACATGAAACAATTGGCATAGACACATCCAGACCTAGAGCCGTCAGCGCCTTTGATGTAAGACAAACGCAGTCCAATGAAAAAGTGTGTCTGTTCCCATAGTGGTTGCCAAAGTCAAGGCTCAGAGCACAAGTTACTGTTATCTCTTTCATGGGTTTTATGTGTTCAAGAATATGATAATAAAAAAGAAAAACAAGCTCTCTGGTAAACCACATTTATAGCCTCTTGGACTGCAAAGTGCACAGCAAGTGTCTTTCTCTTTTGAAGTCAGTGTATTTCTTGAGAAACAGAAGTGTGCAAGGCAGAAGCTTGTTGAAGATAGGGAGGAGAGTAAGAAAGCATGTGAGCAGGTCTGAGCCTGGGCCTCATGGCTCGGCAGGGTACATGGGTCTTCAAGACTATAGGCAGGCTACAGAAGGCCTTCCAACTCTCTGAAATCATGGGAATGATGATGATAGATGTACGGATTTTTCTGGGGAAAGTGTTAATTGCTTTCATCAGATTCTCCAGCTTTAAAGAGCTGGCATTTGAAGGTTTGACTGGACACAATGACAATATATATCAGTATATAATAAGAACAAAAAGAGTGGTTCAAAAAATAAGGTTTTCCTACTTCAGAAGATAGCCATACAACATTGGGCACGTTTGCCTCTTTGAGCCTCAGGTTTTTTTCCATTACCATGTCATAGGCTTATTGTGAAAATTTTTATAGAACAGTTTGCACAATGCTTGGAAAATGTTTTAATTGCGTATTTATGACAAATGCAGATACGACATTTGTTATGCATGTGTACGCACAGTGGCTATAAATATAAAACTTAAGCTTAGTGAATTGTTGAGGATCAGTCATATTTCATTTATGATCGTCTCTTGGAAGCTGAAGAAAGAAGATCAAGTAGCAAGAATGTTTATGTTCTTCAAGTACTATTTTTAAGAGGGCAAATGTTAGGTTCTGGTGTTAATCACCCATTGCCATGCCATGAATGAAGAATTTGAGTCAATGACAATCCCCAGTGGCAACCCTTGGAGTGAATGAGTCAAACTGACATGACATGATAAATTAACTAATTTTTGGGAGAATGTATAACCAATAAGGATCAGGCCCTACTTCTGATGATGAGGATTATAAGAACATTCTTTAAGAAAATCGAACCCTGGTCAAACGAGGGCTGCTTCTTTTCATATCTTGCTTGTTTAGTGATCCTGGGAGACTTAACTTGATTATTCAGCTTCTCCCAACACAAGTAATTGAAATGTGGGGCAGATGGAGCCCTGCATTAGCAAGCCAGAATCAGAGGGTTTGGTCACTACATGGCCTCCTTCACCAACACACCAATCCGAGGAAGGAGGCCAGGCTGCACGAGAATCTTGCTTTAGGACACAGGCAATTTCTTTGTCCACTGCCCTCCACTGATCAGGCCTCTGGCTCAAGAGCTTGAGTTTTGAAGACTTAATTTAATTGGAGGACCATGATGGGTGTCCATTCTTTTCTCCTGGTCTACCTGATCCCTCCATTATTTCCCTGGCTAGCTTACAGGCTACCTAGAAAACTTCATGTCCTTTTTATTTGATTCCCTTGTACTGATGTATGTATATCCTCTCAGACATTTTTTCCCTTGGACAGAAAAATATTTTGGTAAACCAAAACAAAACAACTTACCCACAAGACAAAGTGATTACTAGTTGGAGATCTGGTTGGAAGATATTAGCCAGCTGTGAAGAAGAAACACATTTTTCTCCATGCTTTTTCATAATAGTATTCAGAATCATATGTAAGTTGGATGGCATGCGGTTAGAGCTGTAAGGAGAGAAAGTGTGCTGTAAGGGAGAGAGCACCGGGCTGTGCAGCAAGGCAGGTGGGGGTTGAGACCCAGGCCACGTCTACCTATATCATGGTAGACTATTTACTTCTTAGAAATGTCCTGTCAGTGAAATGTGAATGATAATGCCTGAAAGAGGAATTTTAAGGATTAAAGGTAAAGTGCTTGGCACCACTGAATACTGAGTAAATTAGAAATATTTTATTGTTTTGTTAATGTTCAATTCTTGCTCTACCTTAAAGAAACTCTATATCAAGTACTTTATTTTATGTATGCAGCCCATGTTGTTAATCACGTGCTATGTGCATAGTGGTAAGTGCTGGGAAACAAGGGAGTAAAGCAGAATCCACACGTTCAAAGACATAATAGTCTACCCATCTTGGGGTATTTGTGTGCATGTCCGAAGAGTAGAGAATTACAATTCCTTGTCTTGTTGAAAATTTTACCTAAACAAAATGAAATCAGTGAGTTTGTATTTTCACTGTGTCTGTATAACATAAAAATATGCATATAGCTCATATTTAGGGATGCAGAATATGGGAATTCTAAGGAGCTGAATATTGAACCCTGAATTACACCAGGGGCACAAAAGTGATGAGCCATGTTTGTGTAGCTAGTTTCTTCATGGTATGCTCCTTCTTTATCCCAACAATAACTTAACATTTGTCACATTGGATTCTATCTGAGGTCAACCTGACTTGAGTTTTAGATCCAGGGTCTTCCTTTTCATTCATTTCTTCTCAGAATACCAAGTTCCCCAAATAGATTTACAAGTTTTTAAAAAGATGTAATCTGTTTTTTTACAACAGGTTTGCCACCAGAACACTGGTGTCATGAAAGCCACCACTAAACCTAAACCAAAATGGGAAAGGAGATGATTCATATCAACATTGCTGTCATGGATGCATAGATTCGGGCAAGTCTACCACCACTGCTCATCTGATCTACAAATGTGGTGGGAGTGACAAAAGAACAATTGGAAAACTTGAGAAGGAGGTTGCTGAGATGGGAAAAGGCCCCTTCAAGTATGCCTGGGTCTTGGATAAACTTAAAGTTGAATGTGAACATGATATCACCATTGATATCTCCCTGTGGAAATTCAAGACCAGCAGGTATTATGTGACCATTGCTGATGCCCCCTTCGTTGACGCCCTAGGACACAGAGACTCCATCAAAAACATGATGACTGGCACATCTCAGGCTGACTGTGGTGTCCTGATTGTCACTGCTGGTGTTGGTGAATTTGAAGCAGGTACCTTCAAGAATGCACAGACCTGCGAGCAAGCCCTTCTGGCTTACACACTGGGTGTGAAACAACTAATCATCGGTGTTCACAAAATGGATTCCACTGAACCACCCTACAGCCAGAAGAGATATGAGGAACTCAGTAAGGAAGTCAACACCTACCTTAAGAAAATTGGCTCCAATCCTGAGACAGTATATTTGTGCCAGTTTCTGGTTGGAACGGTGACAGTATACATGCTGGAGCCAAGTGCTAACATGACTTGGTTCAAGAGATGGAAAGTCACCTGTAAAAATGGTAATTCCTGGGGCACCACGCTGCTTGAAACCCCAGATTGCATTCTGCCACCAGCTCATCCGACGAGAAGCCCTTGCATCTGTCCCTCCAGGACGTCTACAAAGTTCGTCATATTGGTACTGTTCCTGGGGGCTGAGTGGAGACTGTTTTTTTTTTTTCCTGTTTGTTTGTTTTTAAGATTTATCGATTTATTTTAGAGAGGAGGGGCAGAGGGAGAGGGGGAGAGAATTCTAAGCAGACTCCATGTTGAGCGTGGAGCCTCATGGGGCTTGATCTCAAGCCCCTAAGATCACCTGAGCTGAAACCAAGAGCCAGATGCTCAACGGACTGTGCCATCCAGGCATCTCAGAGATTGGTGTTCTTAAACCAAGCATGGTGGTCACTTTTGCTCCAGTCAATGTTATAACTGAAGTAAAATCTGCTGAAACGCACCATGAAGCTTTGAGTGAGGCTATTCCTGGGGACAGTGTGGGCTTCAATGTCAAGAACATATCTGTCAAAGATGTTCGTCATGGCACTGTGGCTGGTGACAGTGAAAATGACCCGCCAACAGAAGCCCCTGGCTTCACAGCTCAGGTGATTATCCTGAACCATCCAGCCAAATCAGTGCTGGATATGCACCTGCACTGGATTGTCACACAGCTCACACTGTTGCATGTTTGCTGAGCTGAAGGAGAAGATTGAACACAGTTCTGGAAAAAAGCTGGAAGGTGGCCCCACGTTCCTGAAATCTGGTGATGCTGCCATCATTGATATGGTTTCTGGCAAGCCTGTGTGTGTTGAGGGCTTCTCTGACTATCCTCCTCAGGGCCATTTTGCTGTTTGTGACAGGAGACAGACTGTTTCTGTGGGTGTCATCAAAGTGGTGGACAAGAAGGCAGTTGGAGCTGGCAAGATCACCAAGTCTGCCCAGAAAGCTCAGAGGCTCTGAGACCTGCCACCCCAGCCTTAATCAGTGGTGGAAGAATGGTCTCAAACCTGTTTGTGTCAATTTGCCATTTAAGTTTAATAGTAAAAGACTGGTTAATGATAACAATACATTGTAAAACCTTTAGAAGGAAAAGAGAACGTTTGTGGACCATTTGTTTTGTGTGTGTGTGTGTGTGTGTGTGTGTGTGTGTGTGTGTGGCAGTTTTGTTATTGATTTTTTTAAAGATTTTATTTATTTATTTGTCAGAGAAAGTGTGTACACAAGGAATGGCAGGCAGAGGGAGAAGCAGTCTCCTTGCTGAGCAAGGAGCCTGATGCGGGACTCGATCCCAGGACCCTGGGATCACGACCTGAGCCGAAGGCAGGTGCTTAACTGACTGAACCACCCAGGTGTCCCATTAAGTTATTAATTTTTAAAATCAATACTTTTCTTTTAAAGATTTTATTTATTTATTTGACAGAGAAAGACACAGCGAGAGAGGGAATATAAGCAGGGGGAGTGGGAGAGGGAGAACAGGGAGCCCGATGTGGGGCTCGATCCCAGGACCCTGGGATCATGACCTGAGCCGAAGGCAGACGCTTAATGACTGAGCCACCCAGGTGCCCCTAAAATCAATACTTTTTAATGGAAACAACTTGACCAAAAATCTGTCACATAATTTTGAGACCCATTAAAACAAAAGCTTAATGAGAAAAAAAATTTTAAATGTAAAAGATATAATCAAATTTTGCTCTGGATCACTGTTTTGTTGTTTTTGTTGTTGTTTTCTCCAATGTCCAAGAAACTTTTTAACACCTACTTGACAAAATAAGCAAGTAATCATCTATTTTGGGGATGGAAAAAGAGGAGGTGGGAATGAGATGTCTGGCCTAACCTCCAGTTATTTAGGCATGGAAATGATTTGTTTAGTGATTCTGCCACAATTGTAAAACAGCTTTTGCATTGTCTTGGTTTCTCCATGTGTTTTGAAAGAGAATAGTGTACTTAAATCTTGTTTTAATTCTTGGGAATTAAGTGTATATTTGGGGAGGGTGGAAAAGAGGCATTATTGAAAGAAAAATGTTTCTAATACAACTTGGAAGACAACACAGAAAAAAAAGAAAATGAATCAATAATTTTATTTTAGAATTGAAAGGGATGTTAAAACTCATCTTCCCTCTGTATAGATGAATGAGATGAGTTTAAGTATCTTGTCCATGGGATATCATGCAAACTAAGATGTCCTGACTTCTAGAATAGGGCTTTGCTCTCCTCTAAGTGTTATTATGGGATTACAGTGCAGAATGGTCTAATAAATATCATCATGTTGCCATTACTGCTTGTGAGGACTGGTTGTATGTACAAAGTTTAAGTAAAACCCGATACAAAAATCCTAGTGCCCTAAAGTAACTGTTTAATGATGATGCCTTTGCTCTCTTCAGACCAGTGAAATGAACACACATTTCTAGCTCCATTTAATAAAAGGTCTCCTTGAGGGCACTAAATCCTGCTTTTCTGGAAAAGCTCATCCACCTCACATGGGTAAACAATTCACTTCTTCACAAATTTTGTTTACTCACAATCCATAAACAGAATAAATCCTGCTTTGTGTTATTGCTGTTATCATAAAATTAGACAGAGTTTACTGGAATGAATGGTGGTAGACTGTTGCTAACACAGGTATCCGTTCCGCACAGCTTTCTAGAAAGGAAGAACAGGTTGACCAAACATGTTAGATTTATGGTTAATTGACCGTAATTATTTAATTGTGATTACTCTGAATACTTCTGTAGTGATGGAAAGCTAGTAGTCATCATGGACGGTTTAAAAATAAAGCAACCCATTTCATCGTTCATAGGTAAATGTTTCTGAGTTTTAAAAAATTTTATCAGCTAGAAAAATTTGCACTGGCTTCACCTATATTCATTCAAACTATATTCTTTCTACCTTTACTTCATTACCTTCCTCAGCATATTGACCTTTAATTCCTCCAGAGACCTAATTTCAAGGTAAATTATATGAAAGTAATTTTTTAAAAATATTTATTTATTTATTTTCAGAGAGAGAGAGAGAGTGAGCAGGAGGGGCAGAGGGAGAGAATCTTTCATACAGATTCCCCACTGAGCGTGGAGCCTGACTCGGGGGCTGGATCCCACAACCCATGAGAACATGACCTGAGCTGAAACCAAGAAGAGTTGGACACTTAACCGACTGAGCCACCCAGGTGCTCCTATACAAAAGTAAATTTTGAAAGAAACTAGTCAAGACCCAGATTTTTCAAACAAAACTTTCTTATTACTGTAGTTAAGGCCAGTTAGGATTAGTGATTCTATTTTTAAAAATATATTTATAATTAAAGTTGTTTGGATTTTATTCTTTTTGGGGGCTTTCTTTCTTTCTTTTCCTTCCTTCATTCCTTTTGTCCTTTGTTCTTCTTTCTTCTTTTTTGTCAAACGCAATTTGCATGAAGAAGAAATAGTAAGAGATGACCATTTACACTCCAGTGGCTTCACTCTGGACAACTCTCTCCTCCCTATCCATGCCTTAACCAAAAACTGCAGATGAAAGAAAATTTCCAACTGTATGTAAAATTTTGGGAATATTGCAACATGTTGATGGATCCTATATAATTTTGAAGCATCAGCTCTTTATTAAAACCAGTTTATTAAGATTTTCCTAGTATTAGGTCATACTCGCAAGAGCAGATCTGCTTTTAATGATACTACTAATATATACAATATATGCAAGGTATAGCTATATCAGATCATCACACTGTACATCAGAAACACAACATAGACAACTCATTTCCATCTTTTCTGGGCCTTAGTCCCTTTATCTGTAAAGGAATGCAAGAGGGAGTGAAAGGCTTCTAAGGTTAGTTCCTGCACAAACTTTTTATGAACCTATTTTTTTTAAAGATTTATTTATCATTTTAGAGAGAGAGAGAGAGAGCACGTAGTCGGAGGGGCAGAGGGAGAGGGAGAGAATCTCAAGCAGACTCTGTGCTAAGCGTGGAGCCCAACGTGGGGCTCCATCTCGTGACCCTGAGATCATGACCTGAGCCTCCAGGATGCACAACTGACTGAGTCAGCCAGGCACTCCTTATGAACATTTTCTCAACACACGAACTTTCCAGCAATCCTGACAGGGAAGAACACTGTTACCAGATTATTCACAAGGGAAATACTTTTTGGGGTTTAGAATTTAAATCTAAAAATGTTGATGAAGTACATGCAGAGAGCTTTAGGTTAACTTAGAAAATTATGGCTGGATCTGCCATTTCCTAGGTTAAACACTTAAACAGGCAATCCATTGTATGTTATTTATTTCATGAAATGCCTTAATCCTTAAAGAGCACAACAGAATCAGAATATCCTTCTAATATTACTTTTCACAATTTAAAAACTTTAATTATGACTAGCCTTGTTCTTGTCTCTTAAGACGAAAGAGCCTTATTTTTCAAATGCCCTCACTAGGCTGCATTCTTGCCATCACATATGGGGTACATTTTGGGGAGTTTCTATGGCCCTCCTCCAACTTCATCATGGCACTCTTATATAGTTATGTAAAAAATTGTTAGGTTAATTTCCAGGGCTGGAGAAATGATGATTCTGTACATTGGGGTGCTGGAGACCATAGAAGAAAAGCATCATGTAGAAATACATACCCAAACTAGAGTGACAGGACTTAAAAAACAAATAGAATTCAATCCCTTTATAGTTCTTTGTTTTACAGCTGATAAAACCTTTTGTTTCCCTTATTTCTGATCAGCTCTCTTAAAGCTTCCCTGACACCACGCCTTCCTTGCCAACTCTCCCGAGACTGTTTGGCCTCTGCTTTTCTATCTCCATGTCAAATACAAAGGATTTCCAGCCTCTATTTTTTTTTTCTTATCAGTGAAAATTCAAATCAGACGTTGTCACAGCTGTTTGGATGCTTATTTTTCTAAGCTCCTCTAAAACCCATGAAGGCAGAATTTGTTTCTTTTTTTCTGCCTTCTTCTTTGTACCCCTAATCCTAGCAAAGTGCCTGGCATGCAGCAGGAACTCAGGGCTGAACTAGTAAATACTTGCATCAGGAAACACTGTGTGCCCTGAACACCACCTGCCAATGATTTCTTCATTGTCAAGACTGCTGGAAAGCTTGAGTGCTAAGAATAGGTTCAGAAAAAGTTTGTGCAGGGACGAACCTGAGGAATCATTCCATTTTCTTATGGCCATTTACAGATGAGGAAGATGAAAATGAGTTGTCTCTTTTGTGTTCCTGATTTGTATATTTTATTTATTTTTTATTTTTTTTAATTTTTTTTTTAAAGATTTTATTTATTTATTCATGAGAGGCAGAGGAGGAGAGAGAGAGAGAGAGAGAGAGAAGCAGAGGGAGAAGCAGGCTCCCAAGGAGCAGGGAGCCCGATGCGGGACTCGATCCCAGGACCCTGGGATCATGACCTGAGCCGAAGGCAGACGCTTAACCATCTGAGCCACCCAGGTGCCCCTGATTTGTATATTTTAAAATAGAGAAAAACATTAATATTAACATATAAAAAGTAATATTCATAAAAGAGCAGATGATGTAATTTCTCATATTTTCCCCAGCTTCACTGAGGCATGATTGACAAATAAAACCTGTATATATATCTATAAGCTATCTATCATCTATCTATCTATCTATCTATCTATCATCTATCTAATCTATCATCTATCAGTAGGGTAGATAGATAGAGAGTGCCCAATGTGATGATTTGATATGGCTATTCATTGTGAAATGATGACCACGATCAAGCTCATTAACACATTCATCATCTCATATCATTGAGCACCAACCATATGGCTACTTGGGAATCAGAACATTTCGTCCTTTATTTTTTTTTCTTCTTTTTTTTTTTATTTTATTATGTTATGTTAGTCACCATATATATTCAAGAAATCCAGCCAGAAATAGGCCTGATACGTTGTGTATTCTGTCCATGGGAGTCTTCGTGCTGCCCTTCTGAGGTAACAGACTTATGCTTGACATGTCAG